TATTTGGGTTTGTTCCCTAGGTGTAGGACCTTACTTTTCTCATCTTTTACATTAAAGATATATGAAAAGAACAATTTACTAAAATTTAATAAAGACATATTGAAGATACAATTTGGGGCTGATATCAGTTCAACATTATGCAGCTTTAGGCTCATTCCAGAGTGCAGGACCTGGAATAATGGTTTTAAGTTACAGGAAAACAGATTCCAACTGAAGGTTAGGGGAAAAAAATAACCCAACAGTAAGAGCAGAGGAAACAATTATCCAGAGAAGTAGTGGGCTCCCTTCACTGGACATGTTATGCAAAGGCTAGGTAGCCTTGTTTTAATTTGGATTCCTGCACTAATGGTTTGGACTTGATAGACTAAAACAGTAGTCCCCAACCTTTGTGGCCCACAGATGAGCAGCAGTGGGCGGGCAAGGCGATGGTTCCGAGCAGACAATCTAGTTCCTGAGGATGTACAAATGAAGCTTTGCACACTCCCAACGGGCCATGAGCCAGTAGTGGTCTGTGGCCCAAGGATTGGGGACCCCTAGGCTAAAAGGCCCCCACCAACTCCTTAATTAAAAAAAAAAGAGCCAGTTTGGTCTAGTGGTTAAGGCACTAGGCTAGAAAATGGATGGCCGTGAGTTCAAGCCCCATCTTAGCTATGAAAGCCAGCTGTGTGACCTTGGGCTAATCACTCTCTTTCTCAGCCGAACTCAACTCACAGGCTTTTTGTTGTGGGAAAAATAGGAGGAAGGTGTGTTGGATCTGTTCACTGCCTTGAGTTATTTTAAAAATAAAAGTGGGATACAAATACATATTGTACATATACACATACCACATGTATACAATTGATGTCATTGTCTCAGGACATACACAAGCCAGGATATATAATGCTAACTTTCCTGCTTGGGTTCAGACCTTTGTTTTGATTGTGGTCATATGGCTTGAATGTACGTAGGCTTGATTCCTGGTATTTGTACCTTTAGAATTTTTCTAAAATGTTTTTTTTTTAAACTTGGCAAGAAATGATACCATTCAGGGCTTCTCAGATACCATCAATGTTTAAAGTTATGCCTTGCAGGGGAGAGACATATGATAGTTCTGGTCTGTGGTTAGAAATAGGGTGATTCATGAAGAGTCAGAAATGAAAAGTTGGTGATTTCCTATGCATCAAGTGATTAAATTTGTTAAACATTTAAATATTTAACTGGATTAACTTTTAAAATAAGAATGTGGGGGGGGAGGGTTGTCAATTATTAACCTGTGTCGGAGTTCTTACCAATGTATTTACGGTCACCCAAAGGCAGAGGGGGGTCAGTTTTGTGGTTAAAGGCTGCACATATTTTAAAAAAATTGCCTTCAAGGGCAGCAAAGTATAGCAGTTAAGGATAGGACTTAAGATACAAAACAAGTTAAGTTAAAAAACTTGACTATACTTATTTTGCATCTGAAAATAGGATAAACACAAAGTGTACAAGCAAATATGCTCCAGGTATACTTCAGGAGCTGCAAAAATGTGCATCATCTTTCATATCTCTATGCCATTGTTTAACCATGGTTTGTTAAGAGACATTCATGCAGATGAGCAAAAGCAATTATGATTTCTGTTTGGTCAATTCCTTGCCTTCCCCTCCTGTTTTAATTTACTCTCACCTTCTGTCACTTTAGAGAGTTAGTTCTAATATGCCCAGGAGGATCTATCTAAGTCAATGGTTCTCAACCTTTTTAATGCCGCGACCCCCAATCGGTCGTAAGTCGAGGACTTTCCCTGCCCGGGAGTGCTGCGCATGTGCGGTGCCGCCCCCTGTGCCGGCCGAGGTGTAGCTGGCAAGCGGCAGAGACAGCGCAGGCCGACCACTGGCTGGGCCACCAGCTAGCCTAGCCCAAGGGAGGTAAGGCACCCGCCGGGCCCCACACGCACCAGCAACCCTCCCTGCGCCCGCTGGCCTCCCACCTCCCACCCCTGGCCCTCTTTTACTTACGTTTTTAGTAGTTGCTCAGCAGGGAGGGGTGGAAACTTCCAGACAGCTCGCCTTCGCTGCAGAAAACTTGCAGTACCATTTGCAGAATGGGACTTTCGGCGGGCTCAGCAGGGCAGAGACAGCCTGGATAATTCCTATTGGCTTTTGAAAGCCAATAGAATTAGACTCTATTCAAGAGAGTCTATTCTATTGGCTTTCAAAAGCCAATAGAATAAAAGGGAGTAGCACAGCTAAGGAAAAGGGAAAATGGCGGACTGCGTTGTTTGGCGACCCCCGTGAAATGGTCGTTTGACCCCAAATGGGGTCCCGACCCACAGGTTGAGAACCGCTGATCTAAGTACTAACCATGCCTTTTAGCTTCCGAGCATAAGCAAGGTCAATTAGGTGTTACCACCTGCTGTTAATTAAAGATTTGTCTTGGACGTATTCCACCCTCATTATCAAGGTGTAGCTCTGAAACTGTTCACAGATTTCTAATGATTGATAGGAAAGGATTGATGGTGCTCTTTAAGGCACGTTTCAAGGGCAAAATTTCATAGGACTCTCATATCAACATAAGGATGTTCTTGTATACCAACTGCTACTTCATACAGCTTTTCAGTAGTCATAAGACATCAACTAACTCTGAAATTACTGGAGTAAAGGTTACATGTCTGCTCGTATGCAATATTAAAACAGATATTTATTAAAAGACTCTAAGTCAGTGGTTCTCAACCTGTGGGTCGGGACCCCATTTGGGGTCGAATGACCATTTCACGGGGGTCGCCAAACAACACAGTCCACCATTTTTTCCCCCTTTTCCTTAGCTGTGCTACTCCCTTTTATTCTATTGGCTTTTGAAAGCCAATAGAATAGACTCTCTTGAATAGAGTCTAATTCTATTGGCTTTCAAAAGCCAATAGGAAGTGTCCAGGCTGTCTCTGCCCTGCTGAGCCCGCCAAAAGTCCCATTCTGCACCAGTTGAGTAGTCCTCGACTTACGACCGGTTGAGTAGTCCTCGACTTACAACCGGTTGGGGGTCGCGGCATTAAAAAGGTTGAGAACCACTGCTCTAAGTAATTTAGAAACACATCAACATGATGTCATGGTTCCAAAAGATGAAACTCTTCAAAGAACTTTGTTCTTGCTTTGACACATGACTTCTTATGACTACTAGCAAAATGTTTCTGCTTCTAGCTGTTTCCAACTATTCTGGGCTATAGAAGTATTCCATAAATATTTTGATTGCAAAGCTGTTGAAGAAGGCAGCTTCAATAGGAAGTGAACTTAGACATTTGACAAATATTCATAAATGGATATTGTTCAGCTGATTAACTGATCCTTTTTAGGTCCATATTAGATTTCTCTGAAATACCAGACACTATTGACAGCTGGATTCATGCTAAATCGTGGTTTCCTTAATCTAGGGTCATTGGACCAGAGTGTGAAAATCTTCATCTTCACTAGATGGCAGAAAAGAATTAGAGTTTTCTCTTCACTTAACTGCCATTTATTAATCATCTAGATTCTTGCCGCCGAAAGCTAATCATTCTTTTTAACCAGGATTTATACAATAAACTATGGCTGGTTATATGTGCCAGCCCTACAAGGTACACTTGGTTAGAAAACCAACTCTATAGCAGTGTTTCTCAGTCTTGGCAACTTTTAAGGTATGTGGACTTCAACTCCCAGAATTCCTCAGCCAGCTATGCTGGGAGTTGAAATCCACGTATCTTAAAGCTTGAGAAACACTGGGCAATACTGTAGTAATAGAAGCTTTCAAGTGTGCCTGTGGTTTTCCTTCACTCCTTTTTGTGCTCTGGGAGTCGGAGTAGCCTCAATGTGACTCTTTCTTATCCTCCTTCTACCCTACTTTCATGGGCACTTCTTTTTCACCTGCTGCTGTTCTAACAGTTTCTGGCCGCTTTTTCCATTGGCATGGCTCCTTGCAATTTGCAGTTCCGTGCTATAATTTACAAAATGCTTGCAATATTCTAAGCCCAAATCAAAACAAATTGCATTATGGCATATTATATAAATTCTGGTCCAGTTTACTTAAGTGATAACTAAGCTTTAAAATAGCATTTTATACCACCTGGATAATGTCCATACCTGGGGCTTCAGTTAAAACAATTTCAGCATGAAAATAACAATGAGCTGTGTTTTTGGCAATTATACATTGTGGCTTCCTAGATGGAGTAAATTTAGAATATTCAAGATTGGGTATGCTTAGCATGCTGTCTAATTTCTGTCAAGTTGATTTATACCCTTTTTTGTATCCCCATGCACACTCATCACTTTATCAAGTTTTGAAATAGGCTACCAACTAATTACAGCCCCCAAAAGCAAAGGAAGGGGAATAGCTATTTACTTAGGACCCTGCTTTACACTTAGTAAATAAGGTGGTTGTTGGTTGTTTGTTTCATATCTCCAGAACTTTCCATTATGGGGCAATACTATTCCATCTTTAGAACATGCTAAGGGACGGTGACAAATCTAAGCTTGCTTACGGCCCTTTGGGAGAATAAATTTCACTAAATCAATAGGATCTACTTCCACGAATAACTGTCTTTGGGATACAAATGTTAAATTCCTGCAAGTGATATTAAAAAGTGTAGCCTATATAAATATAAATTTGTATTTCATAAAACATGGCAACATTCCTTCCCCTCCCCCCTTCTAAATATACACATACTTTCCAGGGTGACAGGGAAAAATGTATGGCTTCAAATTAGCCTCCATGGATTTAGGGGTATAAGTAACACCAAGGCACTAAAGGATATGCAATTAATTACAACCACTTATTTCATCTAAAAAATAGCCGCCTTGCTAAATCAACCATGGACACGTAATTTCAAGCATACAGCAACTATTTTAGTGCATGTGTGTTTTTCCAGTAATGAACATTATGCAAGATTGAAATGTAATCTTTGAAGCAGAAAATGAAGATTAAAAAAAAAAGCATCTTGAGTTTACAGAAAGTGATCCAAAACAAAGTGCTATTGTTTTCAAGGTCTACACAGAATAGAAGTTGGAGCAGGGATCTCGACTGAAGCAAATAGCTTGTTTACTTTTAGTTTCTTGCTAGGAGGTGAGGACTACAAAGCGCCGGATTCATCTTGATTTTGTGCATGTACTGAGATGAATAAGCTTAAACACTTTGCAAAGCTTAAGATTATTATTTTTTAAATGTATGGCTTTGGCAACATCTTTTTAGGCAGATGACTGGATTTGGCCTTTGATATGTGCATTCCAGGCCACATATCAATAAGTAGAAAAAGAAGAAAGAAAAAAGAAAGAAAACAAAAAAAAGAAAACAGAGCATTTTAAAAAAATGTGAATGAAAATTGAATTTCTTTTCATTTAAAGTAAATAACTATCAATCTCCTTTTTAAAAAACCCCAACAAATTCATCAGTTTAATTCCTTGGGATAGAATCCTTAGAGTCTTTCTGGTTATGACAGCATCCTTAAAGCTACTTGTTATGAAACTGGTTTGACATTGCCATCTTCTTAATGCTTACTCTATATTTTTTGTTTTAACTTCTCAACCTAGCCAACTACTCAAAAATTCCCAAGCAGTTTCTACTGCTAGTAACTAAGGGGACATTGCTTAGCTTCCGAGATCGGTTAAGGTCAGCTAAATGCAACCATCTGCTGAAATTGTATGACTATTCCCTGCACAAGTAATAATCCCTTCCCCCTGTTACTTTATAAATGACAATTTTACAACAAGCTCTGAAAGCATAAGAGAGACCACCATGTATAACTGGTAGTGCTACAAGTAGTCCTCAACCTATGACTACAATTGAGCCCAACAATTCTGTTGTTAAGAGAGACATTTATTGAGTTTTGCCCCATTTTATGACCTTTCTTGTCACATTGTTAACTGAAACCCTGCAACTGATAAATTAGTAAAACCCAGTTGTGAAGTGAATCTGGCTTCTCCATTGTCAGAAAAGGGGATCACATGACCTTGGGACACAGCAACGGTCATAAGTATGAGCCAGTTGCCAAGCACCTGAATTTTGATCATAGGATCATGAGGATGCTTCAAAGGTTGTAACTGTGAAAAATGGTCATAAGTCACTTTATTCAGTGCCGTAACTTTGAACAGTCACTAAATGAACTACATGAAATAAATGATATTATATTCATAAGCAAGATGCATTAACCAACTAGACTTGAAGCCAGCACCCATGATCCTGGAGTTCCCACATATGTTCCTTGATATTTTTACCTGGCTTCTGGTGCGTATTTATTGCTGAAGGTGAACCTTAGATAGAGCATCTCCGTGATCCTGGGAAGTTGATGAGGCAGAGTGACTTGCCTAGAGCCAATTTGCATAATGTCCTTCAGTTTTGAAATTGAGCCTTACCCATAAAATACCTCTTAGCCACTCTGTGCTTCTCAGCCTGTTTTGGGAAGTAAAATTACATCTCCGAATGGGAGGAGTTGAGTATCAGATTTTACAAAGGTTTAGAGGAAAAACAAAGGGTAATTTAAGAACTAAATATTAAAAAAGAGAAGCCACAATCTACCCTGACTGAAGCGTGTTCCTAAGTTTTTACCCTTGTCTGGTGTAAGTTTCCAGAATGCGTTACTGTCACAAGAAATAGACTTGACAATCTGTAATATGTAGACCACCGGTCACTCATTGTGGTTGCTGGGCTAATGGTGCCGTGAGTGGAAAGACTCTTTTAATCACTAGCGTCATCCATCTCATGAAGTACATGCATTTGTATTAATTGCCAGGTTTCTCTGCACCCGATAGATGTCTTGTGGCCTGACAAGAGATCAGGAGTTCAAGTTATTTCTTGTAGATGTTGTCATCATAGAGCGCCAAAGGTCACCCAAGGTCACATATGTGAATTTGACCTCTCCCAAAATGGGGTTGAGTCTACTTTTGTGGAAAAAAAAGGAAGGAAAAATAAAACAGCATGTTCCCACCACCATTCCTGGCTAAATTGTATCTTCCTGAGCTGTTAGGTGCTGACATTTTCTTAGGAGGTGCTGAGTGATTTCGACCATTACTGAAAAACAAAAGGATAGTGGTTGATGAAGACACTTGATTTGTTCCTACATAGCCGGGTGGTAAGAATTAAATAGTATATTGGTGAATGAATACTGTGTCATTTATGTAAGTACTATCAATTATACAGTGCACATTAAACAAAATAGGGGCTGACTCCAAAACCTCGGATATGACTTTCAAAGCCCTTCCTAAATTGCAAACAAGTCTATTTTTTTTTCATGTGAAAGCGACGAGAATTGATGTAATACATGATATGTTATTGAATTAAATCACAACGAATCCCACTGACTCTTCATTAATTTCTTTCTGCTTTAATTGAATTTAAATGGACCTGGGAATAATGAAGGTTAATTTTTGTCGGGGGCCCTCTCTACTTTCGGCAGCTTGGTCCTCATAATGGGTGGTCAAATGTAACTTTTGGCCCCCAAAGATTTATGCCTCCCGATCTGGTAATGTAGTTTATTACTGAGATACAAATCATTCAAGATCCAGTTTGAATTATTGATTTGGACTGAATTGTCAGCTCGATTCCAAAAAATTGAGTCAATTTGATCAGAACCATTGATATGAACTGAATTGATTGGATCGGAATGTTGATTTGATTTGATACCCAAACAAGAAACTCTTACTACAGAACTGATGAGATGGCATCTTGCCTGTTTGGCATCTAGTCAGTTTGGCAATTTGGTTCAAAAGGATGGTTCAATTGAAGTTTTTTGAATTGGAACCCGAGAGAGCTCTACAATTCTTTCTTTTGCCAATTCTCAGACCCAGCCATTCCCTGGGTGTGATCCCACACTGTGATAGAGAAATATTGATTGTGAGCAATTTTGGGCATGCAGGCAAGAGCGAAGCTGTATTAAGCCAGAATGGTTTGTCTGTGTTGCAGATTGGTTGACAGAAATGCTTTATGCCATATTATGTGCAAAAGACAAAGCAGAACCAGGTTCTCCAACTGGTTGGGTGTGTTTTCATCCAAACAGAGAAGTAATGTATGGTCCTCTGAAGGATTCTGAAAAACAGCATATAAATGCCAGTGGACTTCTATCTATACGGCAGGTGTGCGTGCGCGTGCACATGGATATGCATATGAGGGAGCACTTCTGAATATTATCTGATCAGTGTAGACCTATACTGTTTGCACTGCGACAGACATAAAACTGCATCATTGTTCTAATTCAGGTTTGCGTTTTTGTTTTTATAATTGAATTTTCTGTGTGGTAGTGCACAAGTCAGAATGCAGTATTGCAGGCTAATTCTGCCAACTGCCAGCAGTTCGAGTCTCACCAGCTCAAGGTTGACTAGGCCTTCCATCCTTCCGAGGTCACTAAAATGAGAACCCAGATTGTTGGGGGAAATATGCTGATTCTGTAAACCGCTTAGAGAGGGCTGTAAAACCCTACGAAGTGGTCTACAAGTCTAAGTGCTCTTGCTATTGCTATATATTTCATTCAGATCTGAGATACAAAATAGCCAGTCAAACTTGCCTCCATTCAACAATTTGTTCTGGGGGAGGAGGGGAGGGAGGAATGCTTTTGCAACTTGCATTGAAAACAGCCAGTTCAGGTTGACCCATTGAACCGATTTGACCATAAAAGGGCAACCGAATTATCTTCCAACTAGGTCTCTGAATTAAGTGGCTTTCTTCCATTTTAGCAACTAAACGGAACTGCGCTATACAAGGTCCCCAGCAAGCCTGAGTGCATCACCAGGATTTCCCAAAAGTTTTTGCTAAATGTAATTTTGAAAGTGGAAGGAGCAGAGAAATCCTTAGCCAATGATCGCTGAGTACAAGGTCACTGCAAAGGAATGCTTTGCTGTGACAATGCTGTCAGCCAATGGAATGGGACAATTTGCTTCAGCTCGCCGTGGCCAACTCACCAAGGGACAACTATCACAGGATAATTCAACAAAAACAAAAGTTAAATGAATTTCAAGGGAACCATGGCCAATAATAATAAAGTAAAGAAAGTCAGTCCAGAAATACAAGGATAACAATAATTTCAGTGAAAACATGGTCACCAATACAGGTAGTCCTTGACTTACAAACACAATTGGGATGCTGTCACTAAGTGTGAAAAACAGTCTGAAGTCACTTTTTCCCACTGCTGTTGTAACTTTGAACGGTCACTGAATGAACAGTTGTAAGTCGAGGACTATTTATTTATTTTATTTATTTATTTACAGTATTTATATGCCGCCCAATCCCAAAGGACTCAGGGCGGCGTACGAAGTTAAAAACAATGATAAAACAGTAAAATAAAGCAGTCATACCACAGTCATACCGCGAGTCCGATCATATCCCGGCCCCCCCGGGGACATCAGCCCCAGGCCTGCCGGAACAGGAGGGTTTTAACAGCCTTCTTAAAGGCCGGCAGGGTGGGAGTTGTTCGAACCTCGGGGGGAAGTTGATTCCACCAGGTCGGAGCCACCACAGAAAAGGCCCTTCCCCGAGGGCCCGCCAGCCGACACTGTCTGGCCGACGGGACCCGAAGGAGGCCCACTCTTTGGGACCTCACCGGTCTCTGGGAACTATGTGGCAGAATGCGGTCCTGTAAGTAACCTGGCCCTATGCCATGAAGGGCTTTAAAGGTGATAACCAACACCTTGAATTGCATCCGGAGACCCACAGGAAGCCAGTGCAGCTCGCGGAGGATAGGTGACACGTGGGCGTACCTCGGCGCGCCCACAATCGCTCTCGCGGCTGCGTTCTGAACCAACTGCAGCCTCCGAACGCTCTTCAAGGGTAGCCCCATGTAGAGCGCGTTACAGTAATCCAGTCTTGAGGTGACAAGGGCATGAGTGACTGTGAGTAAAGCCTCCCGGTCCAAATAAGGCCGCAACTGGTGCACTAGGCGAACCTGTGCAAAAGTCCCCCTGGCCACAGCCGATAGATGTTGTTCCAGATTTAGCTGTGAGTCCAGGAGGACACCCAAGTTGCGTGCCTGCACTGAGGGAGGTAGATTTGCCCCCCCCAGGACTAAAGATGGACCATCCAGTTGACCTTTGGGAGGCAAGACCCAGAGCCACTCGGTCTTGTCAGGGTTGAGTCTAAGCCTGTTCACCCCCATCCAGACCCTCACATCTTCCAGGCACCGGCACATCACGTCGACTGCTTCACTGAAAGGAAGCAGTCTACCTGTAAGAAGAGTAACAGAATGAAATTATTAACACAACACTGGGTTGTTCTTCAGCGAGTTGGCTGTGGCAAGTTGTCCCTTTGCTCCTTTGTAAAGCCATTTGACACCCCATCCCCAGGATGAAAGGAGGGAGTTGGAGCAATGCAAAAATGACATGAGGTCAAATTGGAGTTGCTTCTATGGCAGGGGTCTCAAACTCAATTTCATTGAGGGCCACATCAGCATTGTGGTTGCCCTGGGGGGGGGTCGTGGGTGTGTGGCCAGGGTGGGTGCGACCTACTGGGGCGGCGTGGATGGAGTTGGTGTGGCCTACTGGGTGGGCATGCCCAGCTCTAAATTGTTCGCATCAAGGGTGCCTGTGGGAGCCTGGGCAGGAGTGGGACTGATCTGAGGGTCTCTGGCAGAAGACATGGTCTATTTCTTCATTCCTCACAAAGGGTGACACCTCCCCAGCATGCACCCAGGGGGCGGGGCCGACACAGCAGGGGCTGGTTCCTCGATGTTTCCAGATGGCCTTGTGGAGCTAAGACTGAATGCGTTTCAGCATAGATGGCCACCACAAAATTGTACATTGGCTCCTGGCCGGCCTGGGCCAGGGCCAAGGCAGTGGGGGCCGTTCCCTCACTGTTTCCAGGATGGCTTCGCAGGCCACATGAAACCACTTTGCGGGCCGCATCTGGCCCCCGGGCCTTGTGTTTGACATGTCTGTTCTATGGTGTTAAAATCTCCCTAGACCCAGTCTTCATATTAAATGAAAGATGGGTATGCACAAAATCACATTAATCTCTATCCAGGTTCCACCGACTTCCTTTGGGAGCGTGGCTGTCAGAAGCAGTTGTTTCCCCTGCACTGAATGGAGGTGCAGGAATATGAAAGCATCAAATGATGCACAATATCCATGTAGGACCAACGATGGTGGTGATGATGATGAGGACGATGATGTATATTCAACATTTTTTCTGGAGTTTGGATTGGCTGACTGTGCAGCCTCAAGATAACACACTGAATTTACAGGAGCCGACTCCAGTTAAATGTTTAAAGAAAACTTCCTAACAGGAAGAATTTGATTATGGAATACAGGCTGGACAACCACCTATCAGGATGACTTCATGTGGAGTCCTGTGCTACAGAAGTGAAGAGAGGACTTAAGTCAGAGAGGACTGGCCTGAAGATGGCCCCTTCCATCCAGGGGAGCCTGTGTGCTTTGTCATCTCCTAACTCATTCAGGCTCCGATTTAGAAATTAAAAGGTAGGCAAAACTGCTGGAGCAAGAGAAGGAAAGCACCCTCCGGAAATGGCGCGTCGCTTCTCTCCGACGTTCCCGGTTGTGACCGCTAGGAGGCAGCGCAGGACAATCGGTTGGCATTTCTGAGCTGCGTGATAAGCCGAGAGCTTTTGGGTGCTGCAGAAAAGGGAAACTCACTCTCTGTATTGTGTGTGGGTGTATAGTTGCGAGTTTCTTCGCATCTGTGTACCAGGATTTCCCCACCCCCAACACCTTTTATGCACCAGATCCAGACTGGCTTCTGGATCTCACCAAGGTCTTCTCCTCTTGCTTTGGCTCCCGCCCACGCCTAGGTTTGGGGAAGCAAATCTAAGCTTGTTCTAAGGAACATTTGAAAAGCAACCACATTTGGCGGGAAAACCCGAAGGATTCTCTGAATAGAAGGCCGAGGCTGCGATCCTGAGACCAGAGAACCTCGCCCAATTTTACCAGAATAATTGCGGTGGGCTCAGTGATTTACTATCTGCCCCCTGCCCTCCGAGATAAAGGATGAGGAAGCCAGGGTCCTTTATATTGCAAAAAAATTCCCTTTAACGGTTTTTAAAAATAAATAAACGCAAGCGCAGCAATATA